CAGACTTTTTCAATTCCAATTTCGATAATAGTGGCGACATCTTTGATTTAGTTTTTACATTATATTATATAATATATATCATTCTGTCTTACTCAAACGCATACATCTGTTCTTATCTAACATATGCCAGCACCATCTATCGCAAGACCGCGCAACTACTGCTACACGGAATTTCGGCTCTGTTGACAGTCCCAGTCTCCGCAAAGCATCTGTATACACGTATTTCCTATTCGGTGGGAATATATCTTTTCTAGACTTTCAATCTTAGTTCTACAAATTCGGTATCGTTCGTTTCAATAATGTGATGTTTGCTGCCCGCTTATTTTCAAGATATGGACTCTAAAACTCTTATATCAAGCAAATATATATCCGAGGTGACAGCTGTGCGAGCCAAAAATACGTAAATTTTATAATTTTTTTTCGATTTTCTCATAAAATCCAGTGTAGCAAACATCCTCTGTGTGCGTACTATAATTTAAGTAATAATACTTTTGCAATCCGTACATCCAATACGGAGAAATCCCACCGAATAGGAATGTGGTAAAACAGGGGGCTTTAGCATCGCCTTAAGCTGTATATCTGAGAGCGTGTAATTTTCTTTCTATTGCATAATATAAATATTCTCTCGCATGTCTAGCAATATCCGCATAAAGAAGAATTATTGAGGAATATGATGGGTTTGCTCGGAAATGTGGCAGAAGTCGAATATCTTCGGATTCATCTTATGCAGGAACGATATGTAACTGTCTTCGCCAATCTGTTACGCTCTAATAGTGATGGAATTGAGGTTTCGTATTTTCTTTTTTCTTCTTTCACTTTTTCTTTTTTTTTAATTTTTTTGTAAATTATTTATTTCAATTTTACTCGAACATTTTTTACTATTAAAATTTCTAATATGTTCTTAAATATATATATTTTTCGATTTATATAGGTTCCATACAATGCTGCTGGTATATTGGCACACATGGCATCTGATGGTCTCGACGCTTGGACAATAGAAAAGCCAACTCGTAAAGAGGTTCTTAAATACATGGTACAAGCAATTGAAAGTTGGGACTTAAATGCAGAACGTAATATTAATTATCGTTCATTTGGACCATTATTACGCCTACTGGATGTGTATCATACTCCTCCATGTCAACATTGGGCTGCTTGGGCTCTTGCTAATCTCACTAAAGTATACTGTACGTATGCAATATTAATATTTCTTATGTCAAATACTTTAAATTATTTGCTGTTTTGCTCCTTATGTCTTTTGCTATTTTACGATATAATCCGATTTTTTTAGCATTCAAATATTGTGCATTAGTAGTGAAAGAAGGAGGACTAGAGAAACTACATACAGTGATAGCAGATTCCAGACCATACGAACGTATAAAAGAACTCGCAAATTTGGTGATTGAAAATTGCTGTCAATACGAGAGCCATTCCGATGATGTAAATGTTTCTCATTCAGTCTTAGATTCGGAATATCTACGTCTGGATGGCTAAAAAAGATCTTAGTAACATCATTATGCACGTTGCATAACTTATATCGTTTCTTTAGGCAAAACAAATTATGATTAGTACTACAACTTGAACGGATAATAGCGGAGGAATAATTACATAGACGAATCAGAAAAACATGAGTGTGTTACATTAACTTGATAATAATAGATCTGTTCTTTGTAGTTGTACCATGTCACACTTTCTGCACTTAAAATATGAAATAAGTATATAATTAGACGGAGAGAAAAAAAGAAACGATAAAAAGTACAAAAAGTGTAGCTACAAAGAACGAACCTATTTTTTCGATAAAAAAAAAGGAAAGGGATGGATGCTCAATATTATAATTACAAAAGTTGTGTGTGGATGGATTTGTATGTATGTATGTATTTTTTTGCGTTATATGTGTGTGTATGGATTTGTATGAAGAATACGAAGTATTTTGAAACGAATATTCAATTTTATCCGTAAATATTCATCTTATATATTATTGCTGATAATAAATGATGAACTACACCGAGAATCATTCATCCAATCAATGTACATACGGTGTCACAAATGTCTTGCCATAAAAAATATTATTTTGAGCACATTCAAGCAGATATGTCTAGATATTTGTGCATCGTAATTGCTGATTGTTGATAAAACAACTAAATTTATATTAATTTAAAAAACGGAATGAATACAAGGTGCTATTTACTTTTAATCGAATGTGGTTATGCTCATGCATGTAAAATACACATGCTAAATTCACCGACAGATAAAATTCTCAATGATGCATTTGTCACGCCGTGTGTATGTATTCATACATAATACGCTTTTAATACATAGTCGAGCCTCCATATTCTGTACATCCCTATTCTTAGGCCCAGTTGCACCAATTAAATGTCACTTTGATTTTAAGTAAGCCTTAAAACTCTATCTGTCTCGTTTTAAAGCCAAAAAGAGACAGAGACAGAAAGAGTTTTAAGCCTCACTTAAAATCAAAGTAACATTGGTGCAAACGGGCTTTAGTTATCTAAATTTTTGAAAATGATTACTGAAATCGCGAACACACAATGGCTGCGTTCAGCAGTGAAAGCAGCTTTGCAACTGTGTAAAATTCTTCAATATGATTTGTCTTGCCCTTAGTTCCTCATTGAGTCTAAATGTATAAACCAATCATATTCAAGAATTTTACAACAGTTGCAAAGCTGCTTTCTCTGCTCAATGCATAGTGGATCAGATGAGAGGAATGGAGGAGAGAGAATAAAATTTATTTGTAATAATAGGCTAAATTAAGGAGGTACGACTACAAAGAGCGAAAGTGAATAATCGCAGCTAAGGCTTGTACGTTTATTATACTTGTCTTTAACTAATCGTATTGACTTTCGTACAATATGTGGATGTTCGGTTTTTTTCTCTTACTTTGCTTTTTCTTTTCTTGTAGATAATAGTATAGATAATTCGTTCCCATTTTTTTTATATTAGGATTTTTCCAAAACACAAAAATGTGACAGGTTTAGAAGAATATTACATGTGTAAATAGAATTGTGAAGGAGCAGTACATTAGATTTAAATGTTTTGTATGTTATCGTTATAATTACTATTAAAGAACCCTTGAGAAAATTAACTCTATCAACTAAGTCCCAATTGTACACGGTCAAACATATATTTTCAACGAATTTTCAGATTTGTCTTTTCATAGGTTCTTGTTTGATAACAAGAATATATGGAGAAATAATTATAGCGATTATTACTTGCGCCAATATAATGTGACGATGTAACCACATAACACATCAATGCATACCCGGTTTGTTCGATGTATAATATAGTATTATCTGAAATCATAATAATAGTACGTATTTTATTCTTTTTTTCTATCCTTATTTTTTTCTTTTTTTTTTCAAAAACTTCAGGCTATTATTTATATGGGTTCAGTGACGCAAATTATCCTGGTTCATCATAATGAAATAGTATAGTTGCAAAATAATGTGGTGTACCAATGATTTTATAATTTTGTAAAACTAATAATTATAATTTAATTAATAATTCTAATTAAAAAATTTTAGAAAATTAATAATTTTAAAACAAAGAATTAATATAATTCAAATATAAATTATACTTTATTTTCAATACTTATATCCAGAGATGGGAAAGTTACTTTTAAAGTTACTTTAAAGTTACTTTTTATTTAGAAATTGAGTACAATAAATTACAAATAATAATACAAAGTTGAAGTAAATGATAAAATATGATATATGAAATAAAATATCTTAATTTAATGTATTCAATTTCTAAATAAAAAGTAACTTAAAGGTAACTTTAAAAGTAACTTTCCATCCCTACTTATATCACTATTAGAATTATTAATTTTTTGTTATTATATAGAGAAAAATTAGATCGAGAACAACAAATATATCATTCAAAGTTTTGTTGTAATTAAAAATAATTATATCGTTCGAATAATTACTGGAATTTAGTCAAAATCCAGTTCTATATTTACAATCACCTAAAAAAGATTTGAAAGTCTAAGGGCGCGTTCACACTTTGACGCGAAAATGCTTGTCGCGCGGCAATATACGACGCGATAACGAATAAACAAGAGCTGTAAGCTTATTGGCTACCATGTCATACAGTTAAGGCCGTTAGAGTCCTAGATTTATCAGGGTGCGTTCCGTTTCTCGCATAATGCGCATAATGCGTCGTTTATCCTTGGCCGGTATTCATAGTCGGTTCTTATTTCAAGACCGTCTTAAGTAATGTCTTAAGACGCCAATGCAGCCCTCTGATTGGTTCGTGACTTCTTAAGACTGTACTTAAGACGGTTTTGAATATAAGATCTGACTATGAATACCGGCCCTTGTTGCTGACCAAATGTTAAACAAGGACAATGGATGCATCATGCGCGATACGGAACGCACCACAGAGAGGCGCAACCGGCTTGAGTCAGTATGACAAAGGTGCTAAGGAGAGTACTAAACATGGCCGACATGCTATGAAACTGCCTTTAAACTATGTCAAACAAGATAAGACGTATAGGATAATGTGAGATAGAGGTCCGTATTCAAAACGCGCTTACAACGATGTTAGCACGCTAACATACTATTAAGGCCCGTCTACAATACACGGAGTAAGAAGTAAGAGTAAGAAATTGACCAATCACAGTCGAATGTGAGAAGAATAATCGACTGTGATTGGTCAATTTCTTACTCTTACTTCTTACTCCGTGTATTGTAGACGGGCCTTTAGACTTTACGATTGCGACTAAAATTTTGTACGTATGTACGTGAGATAGTCTTGACTTTCATGGGCTGCGTTCGAAAATATCACCCGGATGCCTCCGTGTACCATCTTACTTAATAATAATCGACTGTGATTGGTCAATTTCTTACTCTTACTTCTTACTCCGGCCGCGGTCCGATTCACGCTTACAACGCTTAAAAATCATTTCATCCTTGTTGCTTGTCAAATGTTAAACGAAGACGAAAGATACTCATGAGCGTTGTTAGCATGAATCGGACCATGGCCTCCGTGTATTGTAGACGGGCCTTCAGTCGATTATTCTTCTCACTTTCGACTGTGATTGGTCATTTCTTACTCTTACTTCTTACTCCGTGTATTGTAGACGGGCCTTAACACTTGAGTGAACAACAAAGATAATACGATATGCGGGGGCACTCTGGTGATATTTCCGAACGCAGCCATGGGGAGCCATCTTCCGATATCCAATAGAAATTTTTTTTCCAGGGATAAAATGTCTGTAGCCAAAGTCCCTAAAGAATTCGTTCTGCAATTGGACGTATTGGACGTCGGAGGTGACGCATGTTCTTCGTTATTCGTGGCAGGGACGCCTACGGCCTATTCCAAAACGAGCGTGCCGACATTTTAGTTCGTAGTTGCTCGGTGAATGACTGTCCGATTTGCTCCGGCCTTGGTACCTTGCATGATTTTTTCGGAGGAGGAGGAGGCACGCAGTATCGTCGATCGGGATACTTGAGCTGCCCGTCGAGCAGGCCGCGTATGTAATATACGTACGAGTGAATTAAGAAATCGATTGTAGACGCGTTCTTGTCGCAAGTGTCGCAACGAAGAGACGAAGCGACTCCCACTGATTCGGGTGAGTTTCCTATATCGCGTTCATCACGCGTAAAATAGGATATGGCCATCGCCTTGAAAAGTCGCGTTAATACGAGATTATCGACCCTTTTTATCGACTCGTAGCTCTCACGTGGGAATATATATTTTCCTGAATATTCCGCGTTACGAAAGGCATGGATGTCCTTCGCCACTTCGTGGCGCACCATCACGTTGCTCGGCGCATCCGGTATCGAGATTTCGCCAACGCGAACAATGGACGCCGTTGTACTTACGAAATCTTTCTCGTGTCTAATCTCGCTTTTTCCTTCCCTCGTTGAAAATTGATTTCATTCGTGGATTTTTACACGAAATTGCGTCATTCGTCAATGTGATTCCAACTACGGTCATGATTATTAATTGGAATAATGACTTGTAAGCGCAGAGAGGCTATTGTATATTTCCCATGAATGGAACTTGTGCCACATACGTTGTACAAAAAAAATTTATTTTGTTCATAGACCATTGGCGCTGTATCCACTACAGTTCCTTTCTCTTTCTCTCTGTCTCGGTCACCAATAAGTTGCAACCATGAGCTATGGTTACAACAAATACAGGTTGGTAATGTATGTTTAATTACGCCGCGGGGATTTGCATTTAGTTGAAAAGATCGATAAATACTTTATTTTGGTGGCACTTTATTGAAACATCTTGTATTTTAAGCAACTTTAATATTATCTCTGTTTTTGCCTACCATATTTTCACAATTTTATATTTTGTTAACATACTTGTATATAAGACTCGTTGCTCAATTATAGTCATAAAGAAATTTTAATTTTTTTTATTAAGATGCAAGAGAATACGTCAAGATATAAAACATGGGGAAAAAGGATAAATGCAATATAAGCGTAACAAGAAATCTCTTTCTCTATTTCTTTTAGTTCCACCATGAGTTCTCGTGGTCGTGGATTTAGTTCTCGCGGAGGGGGTTCTTACAGGGGTCGAGGTGGTGGAAACGAGTGGAATGGTTCAGCAGGAGGCAATGTATCTAGAGGGGGATACTCATCTTCGAGAGGTGGCAGATTCAAATATTCGACGACAAATTATGATTCTAGATCCAAATATAACTCAGGTAATATACAAACGTTAGGTATTTAATAGTAACATTGTTGGAAAAACAATTATGTCCATATCGAACTAGAGATTTAATTTGAAAATTAGATATTTTCTTTATTTAATTTCAATTTTAATTTCTATACAAGCATTAGAGAGTACACTTATAAGAGTATATTAAATTGAGGCTGTGCTTCATTTGGTGCTACAAATGCTTCAAAGCATTTAATTGACCAAGACAACGAAATCTTAGGATGCGATTTATTTGATGCTATTTTAATCTATCAATTACAAAAAGAATTTTACTAACTGATCAATCTAAAAATTCTTCAAAGCCTCAAGTGGATCTTAGCATTAAATAGAAAGCATTAAATAGAAGCATTAAATAGAAAGTAATATAAATTAAAGATTATAAAATATCTAATACAAAGATTATAAAATATGTAATACTTTACAGTATTACAAGTATTAGATATCTCCCTAATGTGAAGTAAACAAACAATATTGTAAATATTGTTGATCGTTATTGTCTTTACAGGATCGGAAAGATATTCAAGCAGAGGCGGTCGTGGCGAACATTCGAATAGTTATAAAAGACCTCGTGTAAGAATACAAATTGAGATTATATTTCTATTTATTAAATTTATTTATTAGACTATTTATTGGAAGCGTTTTTGTGACATATTCAGAATACTAAAACGGTTCCTTTTTTTTTAGGATTCTTATTCTGCCAGAGATGACCATCGATCATCAAGTGACTCAGCACGTAAAAGGATAAGAAGTGATTCTTATCAGGTATGTATCTTCCCCTGTCTCTCTCTTTGTAATCTTTATCCGTTTCTCTATCTTTCATAAGATGATTAATAATTCTGTCTTTAGACCCAGCATT